CCCCCCCCCCCCCCCACACTTGCCACACTGGGGTGGAGGCCGCAGCTGCTGCCACACTGGAACCCTATGAATTGATTTGGAGAGATTCGATGATTCGGACATAGGCACTGCTTTAAATGTTTTTTCTACATCCCACAAGGTACCAGGTAGCTCACGAACTTTGAGATGCTTGAGTATTCACTCCCAGCTCCAGATGCTCCATCCACCCCACCATCTCAGTATTCATGAGCCATGCCTAGTACCTCGACGTATGTAAAAAAAAACATTTGCTGTGTCTATAGCAAAACTGCTGATTCTCTGAATCAGCATTGAATCTTCAGATTTTGATATGGCCGAATCAAATTGAGACAGTGATCCAGGTCAGTGAATTGAATCAATGTCCCCTTGTAACATGAACTGAATTAATGTAGCTGATGTTAACATAGAGTGCAATAATAGTAAAATATAACCATGTTAGTCTTGTTCTGTAAGCAACTTGAAAACTCCATTTTGTATCCTTCTGCTTGACATAAGGGAATGAACTCTGCATAGCCTTTATGTATGTATGTGTGTGTGTAAAAGGGTGAATGGTGAGAGAATGGCATAGAAATGGGTGAAGAAGATTTAACTGTTTATGTAAGCAACAAGGTGCCAAATGTAAGTTACCAGTCAGTAACTAACTAACAAACGGCTGAAGAATCCCTTTGAAGCTCAAGGGCACAAAGAAGATAACAAGGAGAAGAAATGCACCCATCCTGCCAGACAGGCAGCAAAAACACTCCAAGGATAAGCTGAAGACAAAAGTACAGCAACCGCAAAAACAGAAGCTGGGTATGGAAAAACCCCAAAGCACTGAAAAAAAGGATGCCAATCCCTATAAAAGAACACTTTGAAAATGCCAAGTTGAGTGAGTCTCTTTCTCTACTGCTGTTTCACTGGAGCACAGATGCATCTGTTCACCCCACTTCAGCTGTTATCTTCAAAATCTGCTATCTTCAAATCATCATCATCTACTCAATAAGCCTGGGTTGGCCACCCTGGGCTCATATTAAGCAACTATTGCTAGTAACTATACCTGGTGTACATGTGGATAAAATGGTTGTTTTGTGTATGTGTACACCTGTGTGTAATGATGTATATGATGATTTATGTGCGTTTGTATGAATGGTGTGTCCGAACCTCTATGTCTAACGCATGTAATCAATAAACGTGACACCTTGCCTTATCTCCCTTTATAAAGTCTTGGTCGTGATTTGAGCAATTGGCAATTTGTGTAACACCCTGAATCAGGCTGAATCTGAATCTGAATCAAATACAGCCCACTTTGCACACCCCTAGTGAGAACCAAATTCTTCCCAGAAGGCTTTTGTGGAAACCCTTAGTGACAATGAGGGGGAGATGCTGTCTAATAGATCCATACTGGACATCTACACGGCAGCTGCCCAAAGTTTCCACAATCTGCCTATTGTACTTATGCAGGCAACACTCAGGTTTCAATAACTTGGGGAAAGGGCTCTGAAACAACTGGAAGAATGTGTTTTCATCTATGAGGGATACTCCTGAACGAGAGTCCACTTCCATTTTGCACTTCTGTCCATTTATTACTACAGTTGCAATCATCTCGGAACCTTTAGTTCCAACAAAGCCAACGTTTTTAAGCAAATATAGTTTTTGTACCTCACATTCTTGGGAGGACTCTAACCTCCGAGTGGTTTACGAGTGAATACATTTGCCAGTCTTTTTGTCTCCCATAACTGGCCTTTTAGTGGCAAGCCCTTTCTATATGACCCTTCTTCTTGCAGGCATGACATTCTTCATTCCTAAGCCTGCACTCCCTTTGTCTATGTTGGCCATCACAACTCAAACATGTCTGTGGATTAGTTAGCTTACATTGGTGAAGGTATAATCTGCTGAATTTTCTGGTGATGATCTCATTCTTGACCTTTTTGGAGTATATAGATGTTGCTGGAGGATGCTTAGTGAATTTCTCTCATGTTACAGGATGCTGCTTCAACTGACAAGGTTTTTCTTGTGCAGTAGCCAAAGTCTAATTTGGTTAGAGAGCAAGCGACATTGGATTGCTTCATCTTGAACCCCACAGATAAGATGGTCGTGAAGCAGGCCATCCAGGAGATCACTGAACTCACAAAATTCCACAAGGTGACAGAGCTCAGCCAGGTAATCTGTTATGCCTTCATTGGCCTTTCAGTCCCATTTAAAATAAAGTGAAATCTCTACAGGGTAACAGGTGGCCTTGGGCAAAAATATGTCTTTAGCAGAGTAATTAGTTCAGCATAAGACTTCGTGTTTGGTAAGGCAGGTTGTGTGAGGGAACAAACAATGGCAAGTGTTTTGGCACCACAGACTGTCAGGAGGATTGCGTCTGTTCTAGGTTTTCCATTTTGTTGGCTTCCAAGTAATAGGACAGCCTTTCAGCATAGGAGTCCTAAGAAGCCAGCTGGCTCACATCAGATTCTTCTGTATGACCCAATGTAGCCATCTTAACTAAGATCAGCCATAATAGAGAAAAAAA